TACGAAAGGGGCATAGACAAGCTGTAAGACACATACTAAAATATCGCGAGTGGCCATCTGGCTTAGAGGTCTCAAACAAGTCCCCGCTTAGAACCGGGGTCCTCCTCCTGTTTCAGTAGTGCGATTTCCCAAAAGGGACGATGTCTGCCCTGGTTATAAACGCCATCTTTCACAATTGGGAAAACAGAAAATCGCTCATTTATCTTACGGGGTGACAGGCCACTTTCGCCAAGACATCCACGCAATTTGCAAATCCATATTCCACCATATCCCAAATTTTTGGCGAGGAAACGATAAGAGTACTGATCGAAGGCGAGCACTCTTTAAACCACCGCCCTCACGGTGTTAAAGGGGGAACCTTAGGCTATTTGTCATTACTATCAGCTGAGTATGTGGAAGATGCCGCATCCTTCTTGCTATTAACAAGTTGAAGAATTCTGATTTGTTTCTTCCAAATGCACTGCACTGTCCGGGAAGATACTTTCGGTTAATATCATGAGTCTGACTCTCTATGACAGATAATATGCTGAAAATCAGTACAATGTGTTAAGGTTAACGAGCGAATGGATGACAAGTCGCGTCCATGCATTTGTCATTTACAAGTGTTCATATGAAATAGACGCGTGTCGGTATACACAAACGACAGTCGTGTTAAGTGTACATCCTCACGATTTGGGGTAATTTGAAATGAAACGTTGTCAATTTCAATAACCTAGAAATGTACATGCGTATACCAAATTCTGACCCTTAACACGTGTAAAATGCATGTGGGTAGAACGTAGGGAATCTATAATTATATTATATATATCTATATGTTATCTATTTTGTTTACAATTAAAATAAACAATTATTTTAAGAAACATAGTCATGACTATGACATTTGTGTCATGAAAATAAAGGTCATCCATTGTTAGTTCAAAGAAAATGTATAATTTTATTTCGAAAAAGCAATGCAGTGATCGATCGAAAGTTTGACAGTTCATAAACTTGATCTTCATGGTGTATACCAAATCCGGTCCTTGACAAGGGATAGTGTTGATATGTCAAACACTTGTAACTAGATACGATCGACGTTGAGAAAATACCGTAGGCGACGAGCCAGATATAAGTACGACACCCTACATTGCCACAATAGTCACCCACTATCGCCGCATACAAAAAATACAGAGAAGGCAGGTTTAAGAGATTGTCTTAAGGAAGACTGTGTACTTCACATTTCAATCGAAATTGAACTCACTAGAGATTTTTTTCCTTTCAAGTTAACGGACAATATACTGTGTATATTCACAAACCTGAATATATATTGAAAGTTATAAAGATTCAATTAACATAATCATTAAACGTATCAGATATCCAGTAAGTAAAGTTACAGGGGTAATATGATTAATTTGTATAGCGCGTCAGTTGTCACTGTAACGTCATTTCCATATCGATAGATGTATTAAAATGTGCATGTATGGTGTGGGTGTGAATCATAAACCATAACATGAATTTACAGCGAATTAATTTCCAAATTAAAAAAGGATACATTATGTATGAGGTAAACAATTTGTTCGTATACGCAGGACTAATTTGAAATGAACCAGACTGATAGCAGTACCTCCACTGCATTATAAACTCAGGTGAATAATTGCACAGCGTCTGTGATTTGAAATAGATCATACCAATAAGTGTACTTGGTGTATCGATTTCACGTAATCGATATTCAGAGGAGGTATCGGGTAATCGTTAAAATTGAAACAGTCTGTTATTTAAAGATCGGATTATTTTCCTACCGTACAATACCTGTAAAATCGATGTTGATTTCAAACCTGTCATGTCAGTTTCACACTCACCATAAAAACAAAACTTACATACGCCGTAATATGACACTAAGGTTTCTCGAAAAGCCGAATGTGTGTTTTGAATAACTGTGGTGCTATATTGCATTTTGACTTCATGACTTTTAATTTAAAAGAAATTCATATACTACAGATTGTTCATTGCCATGTGTTTTATTTTCATCCGTTTTAAGGATGATCCAGTTGCTAGGAGACGCTATGAATGTCATCCATGCCTCTAACTAATAAACAGTGATGAAACATTTTGACGATACGATAAATCATCCTGTCGACTAAAGGTGACATATATTTTCATTTTTCCTAATTGTACATGTTGACTGGAGTGACATATGGTTTGTAGATATGATAGATATCTTCCGTGAATATATGTTTGTTTAACAGCTACATGCTGTTTTAACACATATATACTATTTATGAAAGATAATATTTATACTACAATGTACAACAGATACTATTATTGGTCACCTGCATTTGATTTTATTCATCAACAATATTATTATTTTTTTTTTTGGTCTATTGATATTAGTAGTAGTAGTAGTAGTAGTAGTAGTAGTAGTAGTAGTAGTAGTAGTAGAATTTCGTTATCGATATTGTCATATCTATAAGAAGGGTCATTCTCAGTACAACTAATAAATGCCATTCACATCACAGATATATGAGAGAGAGAGAGAGAGAGAGAGAGAGAGAGAGAGAGAGAGAGAGAGAGAGAGAGAGAGAGAGAGAGAGAGAGAGAGAGAGAGAGAGAGAGAGAGAGAGAGAGAGAGAGAGATTATTGGCATTTGTGTGGCTTTCCACCTAAAGATCTGGTTAATTTCAACGTCGGATCTATCACAAACATTGCGATATCACACCGTGGTGCCTTAAATACAACCATTTTGTATTATTTTAATGAGGATGGATTTAACTGTGAAATAATTTCTTTTTCTATATTCACAATACAGACTCAACCGATTAGAATCCATGGCTGCTTTATCAAATGGAGATTACTAACATCATTTTTATTTTATTTTATCCTTACTTCATTTCACAACAAATATATTTGTCAGACTTTCTTTCTTAACAAGATTACAGGGACATCTGTAAAACGTGTAACTCAATGTATATGAAAGAGATGTCTCATGTAGCTATGGCCTCTTTGAGAAATGTATCTTTGTAACAAGATAAACATTGTACTATGTAAATTCATTGGATAGAATTCACTGTATACCTTAAATCGTATGTTAATACTATTCAAAATACCTAGGTATGATAAATGTCCATTAAAGCAAGACATTTTTGTGTTATTTTGATTACTGTAGACAATGAAATATCATTTATAATCTCAGTCCATAATTACACTTGATTAAATATTACAAAATCATGTTCAGAAGACATAGATGCTATCTTCAGCTTGTTTGAACCGATCACCACTAAACACTACCCACAAGGCAAAACGTTATTGCTTATGTACCGTATATTGAAATAAACCCCAATGGTAATCAGCTGCTAGTGAGTGACAAGAAATAGGCACGTGTCAATTTCACCGCCAAATTACCATAATCCTCGTCAAACACGATAAGAACCGACGAGACTAATATTCAGTAAATGGGACTTTTCTATTTAAATGACTTCTCGTGTTGAACGGAAGAGGAAAACTCAGGGAGAAGAGGGTGGAAAAAGAACCCAGTTAGGCGTGGAAAAATAAACAATCAGGCTGTTATCAGGCTGTTAAGAATAATGTACCCGTTCCCAGAAGTAGGGGAAAACTAGGGTAGGAAGATTAGTCTTAGTAGAAGCGCAAACATCTATTAAGCATAGTCTGTTTTTTGATTGTCTGGTTTAAGCCAAAGGTCACTTGCATAGGGGCTTAAACACAGATGAAGGGCTTAACTCCATATTGAATCGTTGAGAAGGGCTGGGTAGCCAAGCAAAATGTAGACAAGATCACTATTCGCACTTGATGAGTTCAGTGGCTGTAGAGGCCAGCTGTGAATATGTTTATGTATGAAATTGACAACGGTCCGTGTAAGTCAATGAACAGGTGTTGGATAGAGCTGTACAATTTTGTAGATTTTTCTATAATGCTTGTTTGACGAATATTGGTTAATGGATAAATATGTAAAATTAATATTAAATCTTCGTGAATAGGTGTACCCTTCGTATTAAACTCTTTATGTTAAAAATGGACATTTGAAAGCGACAGACATCAAGCTGAGGTTAAAACTGAAATGTACTTCAAATGAATCGTTGCGAAGAGCTGGGTAGCAACCATTCACCTGACGAAGGAGCAAGCATACACTCCGAAACGACGTATTATTCACAATAAAGAAGTTGACATCCATAAATCTTGTATTTCTTACTTCAATTGTGTATTTCATGTCTATTGCAAATTTATGAAATGTACATAAATGTGTGTTACTTGTCTATTGTAGATGTATGATACTCAGTCACATGTACATTTCATTTGATCATATATACATTTTGCCAGGCGTTCATCACCTATGTCAATAGGTACAGTCAGGAATGAAATATATACCAATAGTTGTTTTCATAAAATAATTCTGGATTATTAAGCTTTCGTTGGTGTTTTCAAAATACCATACGCTTTAACAATAAAGAAACACATTTCAGACAGAAGCGTTATGAACATATACACAGTGACATGTGCTATTTTCACTGGTTTCATTTTAATAAGCCTCCCTACCCCTAGTCTCGTGCCAGTGTAGACCTTCTACCAAATACTATTATCATGCCGTCTAGGAGATCCTATTGTCCGTGGTCATGCATTTGAGTGGCGGTGCCTTTCATCTTACAGGTGAGATTGTTGAAAAGAAAATTCGATACAGGTAGAATGAGACGGGTGAAAAGATCAGGCACGAGTCAAGCATGGTTTTTGACAAAAGTGTGGAAGCGTTTTCATCAATTAACTCAAGAATAGCGATGTGATTATGGCTTTCAACACATCGCTGGGCGAGAATAATAACACACTAAAACGGCCTCCTAAAGCCTGACGGAACGCATAATCCAGCCCCGTGTAGCAACCGAGCGAGACACTGTCTACTGCAGCCGTTACCCAGGCTATTTCCTGGTTTGACAACGAGAAGGAGTGAACGAGCGTTGATAGAGAGAAGTATTGAACGAACGTTGATAGAGAGAAAGAAAAACGTAATGTTAACTTACCTGGTTTTGTCGGATTTCTTTTAATTGTCATCCAACGAAAGGGCTTCGATTGCATGGCCTGACTTCCGCACTGTTCAGACTTCAAGGGGGAACCCCCAGGTGTGTGGGAAAGGTAAGCGCTGGTTCCCCCCGTGGGGAGGGTGTTCCGAGAAGGGTCAGAGGCACAAGAAAAAGGCGTCCGCACCCCCATGTCCATACATGCTGCCCCGTTACCATTTCCGTTTGGCACATAACATTCATTGACTGTGGGGACAGGCGGGATGTCCCCAACCCCCAATCCGTACCCTCCTGGGTGGCGTGTTGCTCGAGCGATAACGCTGGTAGATACCGGGTAGGAGAGCTGAGGGTTGGTTCCCAAAGCTAGCTCCCCACCCTGAAGACTTCCAAGGGAGGGGTCAGGACCGTAGTACCCCTGACCGGTATCGAGTGATCTGTTATTTATGTTTGCAAATCCGTAAATGCTCGCTGGTATTTCGGAGTTAGGGAAAGTGTTAGCATAGGAATGAGCGTCAAGATTGCACAGAGTGTAGTCGTTATCAGAATTCATAATTTTGTCCTGTTCCGAGCCGTGCCTGTCAATAGGGGTGCTCAAATTAGCTGTCGATGGAGAGATAAATCTGAAATAAATGAAGGTAAATTACGCCTGGAAAATGACAGGATTAGAGGCGCTCGCGAGCCCACGTGACACCCTTCAGCCAATCGGCTTACACCTTCACTGTATAGGATGAAACGGAGCAATGATAGATCGGTCTAGCGACGGGAACATTTTCCAATTTCTCTCTTGTTTTCTCGTCTTAAATGGGCGATTTCTGAGCTAGATTTACGACTTTTACTCCAAAAATACAGCTACAAGTCCGGACGAAAATGTCGACGCTGAACAGGGAGTGCTTTCGTCACTGTTTGTCGCCCTATCGAGACACGTGCGATCTCGAGACTTGATGGACAACGAACGAAGGTATTTGCATGTTAAAAGCTATATTATTCACTCTAGAGTAGCTAAAGTAGATCACTGGCGATAAATATTTTCGACGTTATTAACCACCTACCTCGGCCCAGCGAACAGGACACATCCGGCCGTGTCAATTTCCGAAGCCATGGTGTTGTTATGAAATGTACAAGCTTTGCTCTCGCGTGTGTTCCGTAACTTGTCTTAGCCCACACTGAAACTGGTAGCCAGGAGTTTTATTACTTTACATCTCAGGAGTTTATTTTGATAATTACCCTCCCTGATAACCCCTAAGACTTGATGACAGTTGTCTTTAGGGGATACCCCGAGGACGGGATTCTCCTCATTACGTCATAATCCCCGAATCGGTAAGCGTTGATGGTGTGATTTCGTTTTCCGTGCTGACGGTCCGTAGTGGCATGTGCCTATTGTCTTCTCCGCTGTTTTGTTAAACTTGTGAAAATCTGTTTCAAACTGACATTTAATTATGTAGATTACAAACATTTAAAAACATTTTGTTCTTTGAATTATTTGACCGGTTGCCATATTGCTCAGCTGTAAATTGGGACCCGTATTTGAGATATTTAGATGCTAATGTTAAGAGGTCGTTTATATTGTTACGGGGTGTTGTTGTTTTGGAAGTTGGATTAATAGGTTTAATTTTATTCGAAGGGCTGTATTTAATGTCTAATTTAGAGTGTTGAGTCTGGGATGCAGGGTGGATGTTTTATTGATAATTGACAGGTTTAATTATTGTGCTGTCATTCCTTTTAATCAGCTATTTTCGCCATTTGACGATACCCAGAGTTCTATTATGGCTTAATCCAAGTAACCGTTTCTTAATTATAAGCATTAATGAGGTTGTAATACATTTAAATTAAATAGCAAAATCGTATTTCGATATAATTTGAAATCTATTTACATACAGTGGTGAACATATATACACATAGACAAGATAAGTATTTTGACTTTTGTCATAGAAATTCCATTTTCTTGTCAGAAAGTCTTTAATAAATTTTGCATTTGTATACACTCGAAACTCCCACAGTGACCTACAATATTATACGTCTATATATTAATATGCATACATTCCTAATATCATGTTATTACATATATACATCATAGAAATATATATTTGTATAAAGTACACACTGACACATACATGTTACATTTATCACATATCAAACCATTTTCAAAATTTAGCAATGAGTAAAACCATATATATTTTCAATTAATTCAAATTATTCTATGAAGCTACACTACCCTTTAAAATAATCAGAGCTGATTTTAATCGTAATTATGAGGTATAACAGTACATGGGAAATAAACATCAACACACAGCGGAAGACCGTCGATCTGAAATGAACAACCAACATTCTGAAATAAACATTCAACACTATCCTTATCTTACATGATATCAATGAAAACATTTTGTTAACCCAGACCTCTCCTTCCCAACCCTCGTTAATAAAACGATCCTCATTAATTATACACGTGTGGGTATATAATAAACTATGCTATAAATGTATGATTCTGAAATGAACAAGGGCTCAAATGAACAGACATGTATGTCAGTAGGAGTTTGATTCACGTCTTCCGAATGATCAGGTCGTGTTGCGTGTTATATGCATTTGCGGCGTAGCTTCTATGCTGGGAATAATTACACATAATTACATCTCCTGGAATGGACGGGGACACATTTTTGGATAAAATACGATATTTACTGGGAAATTTCTTGAAAAATGCACGAAAAGGTTACCAGTGCAATGGATTTTCTTTGCATCTGGAGACAATTCACGTGATATGGTTAAATAACAGTCGCTAATGGGTTTTAAATCGTGGTCCATTTAATATGGTTTCACGAAAAAATCATTTATTTGCATAGAGAGAGTGTAAAACATGTAATTGTCCCGATCACCGTTTCACTTAATTACTTTCTCTTGGGTTGTGTGATTAAATTCAGGCAGATTCCTTAGTATTTTTCTGCTGTTTTAACACGGATTTTAAATTCAGTTTATTATTTGTAATTAAATCGAAATTTATATTATTATTTCAAATCGTGTTTTATAAGAAAGTGCAGGGCTCATTAATTATTTGTTTTTCTTATGTAACATATTGTAGAATTGTTTTCGATGTTTGGAAATTTTAACTGTCCATGGTTTTGTATTAAACGCATTATTCATGATTTTCCAATAAATCTTCAATTAATTTATAGCGTCGTTAGTGGTTGATGAGATTGATAACCCCAGACAAACGTATTGGTTGAAACCACATGCAACTGTGTTAATTACAGTAGAAAGATGTCTATTACAGAATCAAGTGAAATTAACAATTGGCGTCAAACGGTGACTTTCATGAGCAATTGTACATTGATTGACGTTTGCCGTAATAGATTTCAGATCGATTGACATAGTAATAATATTTGCCCTCAAAATTATCAGCAACAGACATGCGATTGCTTTGATAATGGTCTGATTATTCTAAGACACACTTAATAGCTTTGGCTTTTGGCGACCGCTTATTATTTGGACTCAAGCGTCGGACTTAACATTCGGACTAGTGGTGGGATAATTAGATTTCCACTCAGGGAAAGCGGGGCTACACTGCCTTACAGCGGAGCTCATATGAAGCTCCGAGTGGGGCTGGGGTGTTCAGAAAGAACAAATTTCCTGAAGGAATTTGAAGTTTTAGAACGTTTGACAGCATAGTCATTAGCAGACTTTATCAGAAGCGCCCACATTGTGAGCTTTTGTTACGCGATATGGCATTTTTTAAATGACTGACAATTTTCCACCATCGGTAGTGAAATTTTGTTTTATTAGAACGTTATTCCATAGCCATTGTATTGTTTGATTTTAGAGTCCCGTCCCTGCGAGACGGTAGCTATCGAATCAGCCATATGGTGATATAATTTAGTTTTCTGAATGTTTTCTCTGTCAATAAGAGGCTCTTCAAGAAGGATTGTGTTTCAAGTTTTTGTAGTTATTTAAGGTGATTAAAACTGCCTCTGTTACTAAAACCAGAAAGGATAGCACCATTTATCATTTTCGTATATTATGTATTGCGATCATTTAGATATAATTTTACTAAGTTTTATGAATTATATTTTTATATGATTTTTAAAATAACTTCATTTCATTATGTTATTGAGTCGCCATTTTGATATCATAATTGTTTAGTAAACAGCAGGTTATTGAAGAAATTGATGATTATATCAGCTGTCTCATTTATACATATGTATAGTGTTTATGATATCGGTAACATGTTGTTTCACTCTATGTCAGCTTTTTAAACCATAATAACAAGTATAATTCGAAATGGCTCAACTGTACAAATGCGCATAGTAGATAGCGTACGAATCAGTATATACATACTTACCCATGCCATTTCAATATTATACATTCAAACTGAAATATTTTCACAAAAACGTCAGTTGAAGTCAGTAAACTCAAATTCAAATTGAATTCAAATTTAATTCAATAAACAAATTAATACCCACAGGGACGTTTTACGACATGACTGCGAAATGAACACAGTTTCTATACTCAAACGCCATGGAGTTAGACCAAATGCACAGAATGTATAACTGAAATCAACAAAGCCTATTTTGAAATTGACATCACTGTGAATGAAGTTGACACCTAAGGTCAGTTGTTTATCCCCGCTACACAAACCAGCGTTTAGACGTCTACTAGGGACAAATTAAGCTCTCACTTGGAGGTATTTGTTGGTTGCGCCACAGGGTAGCTTACTCTCACACCATCCTGACACTAGACAGCGATCCCTAGCGTCCCGACGGTCCACAAACTACATAAGCTGCATTCTGAAGCTCACTATGGCTCATTTCAAAATTTCAAAAATTTCAAACTATGTTAACAGGTCATGTATTGTGGAGTTGAGCGTAGAGAGAATTACGGTAGCATATAACAACGTTGCATCTTCCTCAGGAAGGATTGGGTTTTAAGCATAGACTTAAAACAACCCTATCTATAATAAATCGAAAAAAGAACAAGCGATTGCATCGCTCTTTTATAATTTAAGTGTATTTAAAATTTAAAAAGAATATATGCTTATAAGTATGAAGAGAGAAACATCTTGGACTGTATTTTAAAGAAATATATAAATTATAAGGAAATATCAGGAATGGGTACATATCACATTTCTGTGTTATGATGAGTTCTAAATAACCGACCTCATAGCTTTGATGAGTTTTTCTGTATATGCATATTTGTAGAGAATAATATATGTTTATCGAAAATTGTACTATTCCAACTCTGCCATGATCATGAGTTGACCATTCACAGACAAACAGCCCTGATGCCAGTGATGGGGTGCTATCGAGAGAAGCCTGTCCTTTCACATCAATGGCCAGTTAAACACATGCAAATAACAGTTAATGGTTTACCTGACAAAAGTGTCCCCCGCCGTGATATTGCTGGAATATTGCTAAAAGCGGCTTAAAACCAAACTCACTCACTCACTTACCTGACAAAAACCACACGCTTCAAGAAATATGGAATATACCTGATATTGGAGAAGACATGGCACCAAACTGTTGTTCATGATTCGCGTTTGAGGGCCCCTTTAATAATATTCAAAATATCAATGACGCTGAATACGTCTATGGCGCACTGCAAAGTTTAAACTTTGA